GAAATTGTTCTTTCTTATGTGAGTTGTTTCGATTATGGATTGATATATTCTTGCTTGATTGATTGATATAATCGAAGAGTGACACTTCGATCTTGCAATTGGTAACAATTGAATGTTGATTAGTCGAGTTAGGGTTTCGTTGATTCTATGTGATTAGTCGATTAACACTCTTCTAGTTAAATTAGCGACTTCTTGAACCGAAAGGGGAGAAGTCGTAGATTTAGTCTCACATGAGGTAGACGATGTCGTAATTGACTAATCTACGTGTTTTAGATTGAAATACGCACTTGTCAATGACCCGTCCCTTGTTACGAAAAGTTATTGGGATTGGGATAATTGGTCTGTGTCGTATGCTCGAACTTGTTCGTCTATATTCAATCCATTGTTACGAAGAGTTATTGGAAGCGAACCGCTAGATGTTTAAGCGAGAGTTTCAATATCGAACCGAACAATTGATTGCCCGACTTTGCTAGAACTTGAATTAATCATCCCCGATTCCCTAGCTTCTCCATCTTCGTTCCATTCATATTCTTAGGTAGATTTACATTTTTGCATTGTTATTTATTTCTTAGTTGGTAATTGATTCCCCCTATTTGATTAGTGTGATTAGGATTTCTTTTGTTTTTATGTGTTATCAATATCATTTCTAAATTCCGAACCGCCTTCCTCGTGAGATCGACCCGGGAAACGAATCTTTCGATTCGGTACTCGGTAAAAATAACAATTTGTGCTACAACACTAAGTCTCGTTATCCTCGACATCCGAATCATAAAAAACCGTTGCATTTTCCCCATGTGTTTTATTTTCTACATATCAATACAAAGAAAAGTAATATGCATAGTAAATAAAGACTTTATCATATAAAGTACTTAAACATCAAACTAAATTTACATATTAATAGAGGGAATTACCTTGCTCGCATTGCATCCAACTTTGTGAACACATCAACGCCTCAATAGTCTTGTGGTGAAGTCTACTACGATGAGGACTAGTCAATCGTCCGCTCTTACTAAAAGCGGACTCGAAAGCAACAGTAGAGATTGGAATTCCTAAGATATCCCGAGCAATTTTATGCAAAATCGGGTACTTGCCTTTATTAGAGTTCCACCAACTTAAGACGTCGAAATCGGGCGTTCGTGGTAGAACATCCTCATCCAAATACAAATCCAACTCCGATTTTGTAGACTTTCTCTTTCGTTGAGAGGCATACAAGTCATATCCACTAAGTGATGGGTCATCAGAAAAATTAGGATCAACCAAGCCACTTTTATCGCTACCTCTCTTCTCTTTAGCCTCGTACTATTGTAGCAACTCACGACACACATCAAGAATCTCTTCAACCTCAAACTCACCATTGGTACCATAAATCATTGGAAAATAGTACTCAAGCAAAACACATTTATACCTAGGATCAAGCACAGTCGCCACTCCCATGATACCATGCACGTCGGACCAATAATTATTAAATTTATTCAATATTTCTACAGCCATCGACTGCACCTCACCAATACTGAAAGAAACCCAATTATTCAAAGCAAGCTTTATCTCACAAATTTTAGGAAAATACAAATTTGCAGTGGGATACTCGGTACCAGAGAACAACTCAGTCGCTTTATAGAATACTTTCAATCTCCGACAAATTTCCCCAGCCATGTGCCAATCAGTTTCACTAGGCAAAGATTTATAATTTGGATCCCGAACATTTAAGCGAGAGAACACTTGTTTATAATCCAAAGCAATTTGTAGCATCAAGTACGTGGAATTCCATCGAGTTTTACAGTCAAGTGTAAGTTTCTTACAAAGTTCCACACGAAGTTGTCGAGCTGACTCCTCGAATTTCTCCATTCTCTTAGGAG